TTAGTAAGTAAATAACACATATTGTGACAAGTATGTGCTTCTAAAATTGCTCTGCATTTTCTTGTGGAATCCTAGACCACACGTCCAGCAATATGGGTAAACAGTTTCTGAAGCGTCTGGGGTTGTGCTCGACGTTGATGTCCATCGAGATGTCCATCAAGGTCATTCCACAAACGTTCTAATAGGGTAAGAGCAGGCGACGTGGAAGGCAATTGGATAACTGTTCTCGTTCCCTATATAGTCAACAGTGGCACGTGCAGTATGCGGTCACACACACCATGACGCTGTCATGGGGGAGTGCGTGAGTAAGTGAGTATGGTTTAACGCCGCTTTTAGCAATATTCCAGCAATATCACCGCCGGGGACACCGGAAAATGGGCATCCATCATTACATTTACACTTGAAAGAAATTACAACAAATTGAAAAGCATCAGGTATAAAAAAAACATTCAATATTTTAACTTTTCTGACAAATCTTTGCTTCGTCTTACCTTTGTACATCTTCAGTGTGTATGACCTTTAGCCTTCTCGATGCCACGGGGCCAATAATGGATTCCAGAAAATGACTCTTTGCAACTACTACCATTTTAAATATGTGTAAATGTATCTCAACTTACTCATGAAGTTCGGATTCTGATTGGCTGAGACCCATTATATAAATTTCATTGTAGCCCCGCTGAAACTACATTCGCATCATATCATCCGCAGTTTTGTGACTCGAAGTAATTATTCAATACTCCATCCTCCGGGTATTTGCTATAGTTTCCGAAATAAATAGATCTGGTGGGAATAGCTGGTAAATAGTGTGTTCTATGTCGTCTAGCGCTTCGATAAATGAGAAAAATGTCAAACTGTAGTATTCTTACCCATGTGGACCAATGCTTAAGACATCCCACCAACATAATTAGGCGTGCGGTACATAGATTCGTGGTCCACGGTTGATATGGGTGACATTGCACCCTTTATATATACCCTTCGGGGTCGGGGAACATAATTAAACATAGAGGGTACATCAACCCATGGCCCCCTCGAGACCGTAATCCAAGTAAGACTATTGATGTTCAGATCTCTACAAGGGGAACGGAGGCCAAGTCGTGTAAGGTGCCGCAATTCGCTGTGCGGTTTTGGGTTCCTTGGGCACCCCAGAAGCCTAGGTTTCTAGGTTTGTCAGCACCACAACCGTGCTTCTGCGTTACACTAAAGGAATAAATGTTTCAGCCCTGCATCACTTCGGCCTTTCTTCCCACATTAATCTGACATGCCATGATGTAACTGGAATACTGTTCACAGTTATGCCGAATCAACTCATTCCTCACACAGACCTCAGCGAAAGAGGATTTGTTTTAGTCTGCATTCTAAACGACCGGTTTTCATGCCAATCCCATGACTCATAATGACGAAAGGAGAGGTGCAGATTATCTTAGATTCCCGCATATTGAACTCACTAATTCTTGGTATTGACTGTGCCTGACTTAACTTCAACTGGGAATGAGACAGATAATACAATATCTGATACAATGAAATGTCTTCATGTGATCCAGACACGCCATAACCAACTAAAGAAAACAGTAAACAGTATTAGTATTGTTGCGTTTATTGTTTAATCCTTCTTTGACTTTAAATGCATATCAATTAAAATGAAAACAGAGCACATATTATGCCTTTGTATTAGAAAGGAGATCATTCGGTTGTGTCAACCTACAGTCCAATATCACTCATTGGAGGGATTGGTAAAGCTTTCGAGAGAGTTGTATTTCATCATCTTAATAACATATAATGACAATAAAATGAATACAAATACCAGTCAGGCTCCCACAAAGGCCATTCCACTGTCCATCGGTTTGAATAACGTTATCAAACGTGTATATTTTTTGTTATAGGGGGAAATGTTGCACTGTTTTGTGATTTGTGTGAAAAGCATATTATCGCGTTTTTGTTAAAGGCTTTAACAAAGTAGAAATGTATGGTTTGTTGTTTTATTTTGGAACTTTCTCTCTATGAATATGCGCTTATTTTAAGGATAGATAACATTTTGTAAGTCCAGTATGCCATTTTTCCTTACCATTCCCATCAGATATCGATGTTGAGAAACCTTTTCTTTTTCTTTATCATTATTATCATCCCCTTGTTTTTTCGTTATTTATTTGTTTGTTTTCGACACTGAAAAAGCTATATTAAATCCACATTTCATACATGACTGGAAAATAAAGCATAATTATGCTGCTTGTGGCATATGCTGTGCATACTGCTATAGATATAACAACACCTATATACCATACAGAAGCTACTAGTATCTTGACAGATTACTTTTCATATCCCGAGTGTCTGTCAATAAAAGGTAGAGGTAGAAGGGAAGGAGGGTTGCAATTTACATAAAGGACAACTTAAGTACTAAACATATAGATAACTAGGACTCGAGGCAGTTCGTGTAAAGTTACTGGTGAGGCTGATCACCTGTTACCTGGTACATGCCTACGTTCTATCGAGCTGATAAAAGTACTCAATTTGGGACTTGAATGGTATGTCAATAGGTGAAGCGGATGATCTAGATATCGGTATTATAGTAGCAGGATTTCTTGACATTGATTACCATAGCATTCATAAAGAACGACTAGACAATTTGCAAGCAACGTATATCCTTTGTCAAATTACTACTGAAACCACAAGGATTGCTGAACATTCCGAAATATAGATTTAATATTTGTTTCAAATTATAGTAATGTATGTTCTCCGGGTCTTCTAGACCCTGCAAGAAAGCCAATGAAACGTATTCTTACTCAAAACGAGATTCAAAGGTTAATGACAATTGTGGTAGCATTTACTGAAATATACCAAAAGAGAAATGAATAATCTGTATTCTTCCCAGGTACCTCTCATATAATAGTATGAGATATGATGATTCAGTATCTATAGCTAGAGTAATGTTTTCGTGAATCAGTCCACAATCGAACAGTCGTAACGGCCACAACCTCCTCCAAGTATTATAAACGAAAACAATCTTGACAGCAGGACACGTATCTCGCGGCGCTGACGTCCAAGGTATACTTCTCTCAGTTTGATGTAAGTAAAGCCAATGGCCGAAATGGAATTTGCATATATTTTCCTTAGATTAACAGCTGAAACATATTGTATCCCCTTTAAGAAACTATCAATCAGTCACTTCAAACTTACATATTTCTATCGATGTGGAAAACAGCATCAATTATTCCGAAACACAAAAAAGGGTAGTGTAATTGAATGTATTTTGCGCTTACAAGTTGTTTATGGAACGTGTGTGAAAAATGTGTTCATGAATATGTATTCAGCTTCTTCAAAGAGTACAATGTCATTTAAACATGCATTCGGGTGTTACCCCGGGACATTCGACAGGGTACCAGCTGAGGGATTTCTATAATTGTATTTCAAGCTCGTTTAAAGATAAAGGCAAAGAAGTTGGGGTGCAGTATTCTGCGATGTTAGCAAGTCATTTCATAAAGTATGGCATTGGGTACTTTTGAATAACTTGCTCCCATAGTTAGTTGTAATTTAATGATCTGGTTTAATAGTTATCTTCATAATCAACATGATCAATACAAAAAAAGTATTTATGAACGGATACAATTCGTGAATATTTTTCCCTGATGGCAGTCGTCCCTAAAGGATCGGTGTTGGAACTATTGTGTATTCTTGTATACGAAAATGACATTCCTAATAATATAGATTATAATGTGCGATTTGTCGCGGATTATACATCACTATACCCAATAAGTGATCACCCAAGTAAACAGCAACAGGCCTGAATAATGATTTTGTAACAAGCGCAATAAGTTTACTCCAGAAAAAGCAGATTCAGTGAGTGAGTTGTCATCTAAATATTGGAGGAAAGCCCGAAGTGATGCCGCTTCGCAGATGTTTACAACTTCGGTGAAGCCCACGAGCACGGGTATGGTGCTGACAAACCTTGAAGCATAATCGGGGCTAACCGAGATTCGAACCCACAATCGCAGGTTTCTGGCGTGCCCAAGGGACGCAACTCTGTACAGCGAATCGCGGCGCCTTCAGACGGCTGGGCCAACCGTGCCCCCAGAAAAAAAACAGAAGCCATAAAACACGTTTATATGGGAATGCGTAAAAAATATGTACATGAAACAGAGATATAATTCAATCTGTACTTACATTTTTCTCAGAATCTGGTAGATATAATTAATCGATACGGTCTTACATTTCAATAATCTACTTATAATCTAGTGGTCATATTATAACTTACTTAGCAATAATCAGCAAATATATTTATAAAACATTAAATGTTATGCAAAATGTTTTCATGTCTATGTATTGAATCAGCATCAAGATAAGTCTTTGGCTTTTTTTAGTAATCCATTTCATTGTGATATGAATAAGTTTAAAACACATACGCGTATTTGCTGACGATACGTCAATCCTCATAGGTCATCAAAGATTAACCAGTTGCGGCAGTCCAATGTATTACTAGTAATAGTGATTTTGTTAAAATTTCAAACTGGGTCAACAAATGGAAAGTAGGATACACTCCCGATAAGACTGAAAGCATAACGTTCGCCCTTAAAGTCGATCCCGAAAATAGGCCGAAATTATATCTGTATGATATTCCTATTCAAGAAGTATAAGCACATGAGTACTACACTTCAACATGCGCGTCTAGCAATGACCAATACATTCAGTGTTTCAAAGTCTGCGATAAGCAGACAGGGGAACAGGTACCAACTAACTCAAACCCAGTTATGACAGGAGCCAACCGTATCTGACAGCGTTTTTATTCTTTGTAACATGTCAAATATTCAGATAATCACAAGCTAAACACTGCTCACCATGCTGAAATTAAGTTTACAGATTTCGTGTTACCGTTTGCTGATTAGGTTTTAAAGTTTTAAAGGTATTGTTATTCGCATTAATTTCCTGACGCATTTTAGACCAGGGGGCGACACGTGCATTAATTTAATGATTTACAGTAATAATCAAATTTTGAGAACGCCCAAACTTACCTTGCGATAATCCAAAATTAACTTGTAACTGGAGACATGATCTCCCTGCTGTACAGCATTCTCAGTTCCAACCAGTTTGTTTAGGCTGTCAAACTGAAGCACGAAGTTCACCTGCAAAGCAAACAGTAAATTACATTAAAGCATGACATGTTGTATAGTGCAAATTATGCATGTTTAAAAAAACACCAAAGAGACAGTACAACAATTATGACAATATGACGGATGTGAACTTGAAGATAAGAATATCAAGACTTTCGGAGAGTTACGCCAAATTCAAAGTGGTACCTTCATAATTCATTATTTAAAAAAATAGTATTGTCGAATGTATTGACAAAATACACGTTTGAATACACACTTTTTTATATTATGACACTTAACTTTTTCTCACCAGTATCAACAGTGAAAAATGAAAAATTGTCAGATAAATCAGACCTTATTGAGGTCCAACATAGCCGCAGGTTCAAGAATATCTTACGCACCCGATTATCAAAAACCTTAGTCAGTCTGATATTAAAGCTAAAGAAAGTGAGTTGAATCTGAAGCTGAGAAAAAAAGATATAGAGAAAAATGAGCTTAGACAATACAGCAGCCGCAATAGCGTCGGCATCTTTGGCATCCATCCAATTTGTGCATGGTCGTCATGATACAGATTCTCTAGCGCTGGACATTGGTGAAGAAATGTTGGAATTGTTGAGCAGTGTTCGCGTTGATGATCAGTATGCATGTTTCATCTTGAGTCACTCCAAAGTTGTATCGAAGATTGATGATGAAGAAAATCAATTACTTTTGATTGGTCAAATGGATAATTTATGAATTTTTTTTACTATTGTTATTATAAACAGTACATGTGGACAATATGAACAATGCAAACAGGAATAGAGATTGTTACAACGTATGTCATATCAGGATCGTTTTCAGACAGAGATAATTACCTTCGTGTTGAATGCCAAACCACTGAATACCAGAATCTGGTGACCAAGTTAGTCTGTATCTAATATAAGTGTGTTAAAACCATGACACACATAATGGTCACTGCCTAAGAATCACATTTAAGGAAATGTATAGCTAGGATGTATGTTATCCTCTTGATAACTAATGTTCATCGTGTTAGTGTCAATCAATATATATATACTTTTATCATTTATCAGATAATAAAGGTGTATGCTTTAATCATTTACCCGACAACTATTGTCTATGTTCTTATAAATATCCTTTTCCGGATCTGTCTACGTTTTCTTAGTCAAAACAAAGTGCTGTTTTTATCGGGAATTGTGCAGAGTCACTCCAAAACCGTTAAGTCGGCACTTTTGAATTTGACTTAATATAATTTTGTCAATGTCGTGCAACTATGGATAAATTTAGTTATTTATCTCATACTTTGTGGATTGTGAGAACGTTGCTTTGTGATGATAGTAAAAAGGGCGTTCTGGACCGGAAGTCGGGGGAGTTGGGGGATTTTCATTATTTATAGTAACAGGGAAATGCCCTCGTGCTAAAAATAGATGTGTGACGTGTCGATCGTGTATCAGCATAATCTTGAACTGTTTTTGCTTGAGTCAATATATCAAATGTATATGTGTAAGGGAAAACAATAATAAGCGTGGAAATGATCATGAATTTAACGAAAGATATAGTTAAACGAGGCTAACCATATAACTCTTAACAAGGGAACCTCGCCTTGTGTATAAAACGAGTTAGTCCTAGCCGTGCGTGTCTCAACATGTCACGCCTGCAGCCAATGAAAGCGCGCTTGAGTGGACTGGTTTATCGCGTAGGGGGTAATTCACTATAATCGCGACAATAGCTATAGGACACTATATGTCATTCAACAACCTGTCACCCCTTTCTATGGGGATCAGTGCAAAGCAGTGTTATTATACGCGTTGTAAGTGGAGTGGGTTAGAATGATCTCTTCCAGATAGATAGCCGGGAGTATGTACCAGTTGTATCAACTTCGCGTATCCTCTGAATGCGAGACATAAGTTGACTATACATAAGTGGTGTGTGCATTGAATTGGGTTCAGTACAAGCGTAACCATGCCAGCAGACGGTTGGAAAGTGTATTTGTCTAACATCTATTATGACCCGAAACACCCAGGCTCCTTTTCCGGACCAACTAAGCTTTATCATATTGTCAAGAAAGAGGGAAAATTTGATATCAGCTTACATCACATTAAGAAGTATCTTGCTTCTCAAGACGCTTACACGTTACAGCGACCATTGAGATCTAAATTCAAAAGGAAAAGAGCAGGGTATGAAACTCCCAAAAATTTCAGCCAGACCACAGGACTGGCTAGCTGAAATACTTGCCAGCCCTGACCAAAACCTGCCTGCCCACTGTCATCATATGTTTCTCAGGATAAGCTAACGGGGTTTATTTTTGGTTACATTTTATCATTCATCTTTACATGTGAATTAATGCTTATCATCGGGAAATATTTTGAATATTTTCACATATAAAATATAACCCGACCGTCGGGCAGGGGGATTTGAAAATCTGGCAGCCAGAGTTGAAATCAACCCGTCTCGGACGGTCGGGCAGGCAGGTATTTCGAACACTGAATAGGGTCGTGGCTACTGGACTGAATGACATATGGGACATAGACTTAGCAAATGTATCTAATATCCTGCAGACAATGATGGGTTTAAATATTTTGTCATTGTAATTAACATTTTTACTCGGTATTTGTGGGTTGAACCAATGCAAAATAAAACCCCTGATAGTGTCATTAAAGCTTTGAAAAAGATATGTGTTCAGGCAGATTTACCTAATATTATTCGATCAGATAAAGGGGGTGCGTTTAACAACAGGAAAGTGAAATCCTTTTTTAAACAAAAAGGCATCCTTATTATGTGACACAGAATGAAACCAAAGCTTCTTATGCTGAGCGGGTTATTCGAACTCTTAAGACAACCATGTATAGGTATTTTACTTACCAACAGACCTATCATTATTTAAACATTTTACAAGATTTGGTAAGCGACTTCAACAATAGACCTCACAGATCATTGAAAGAGCGTGCGCCTACTGACATAACATTAGAGAATGAAGCTTAGGTATGGACAGAACAATATATTGACCCATAGAAAAAATCTGTAAAACCTAAATATCACCCAAGGCAAAGACAGAAACCATTCAAGTTCAAACTAGGTGATCAAGTGAGACTGTCTCATTTGAAACATGTATTTCAAAGGGATTATCAAAAGAAATGGACAGAGGAGATTTTTATTGTATACGGACACTATTATAGAGGGGGTATACCTGTATATCGTGTGAAAGATATGGCAGATGACCCTGTGTCAGGGAGTTTCTATGGGAATGAGTTACAAAAAGTGCATAAACCTGAAGATGCTATGTGGCGGGTAGAGAAAGTATTGAAAAAGAGGAAGAGAACGGGCAGAAAGGAGGTATTAGTCAAATGGATGGGCTACCCAAAAAAGTTTAACAGCTGAATCCCAGAGGCTGACCTGCAAGCTATATAAGGAACAGACAATGCCATACGTCACTCATTTGGAGCAAGACCATCGTTCCGTCAATGAGCTGGAGATTAAGCTGCCCCCAATATGGATAACGGTCCCATCTTGTACAAAACAAACAGAAGAACTACAATGATAGTGTACATATTCTCTGCAGCAGATTAACCTGTTATATAAAACAAAACTTTGTTTAATAACAGTGTCAGTTGGATATAGACTGTCATGGAGTCAACATCATGTTCAGAATGTGACAAGACATTTTCAAGAAGAGATGTCTTACTTCGTCATAAAAGACATATTCATGGTTTGTGACCTGTGACACCGCCGCCGCCGCCGCATCAGCAGCAGCAAAGTTCAAATGAAGCGTTCACGTTTACAATCCCGTCTAATGCAGTGATCGTTGGTCCAAGTGGCAAGAGTGTATTTGTATATAATACGTTATTGCAAGGGTTAATTCAACCTAAGCCTACCAATATCATCTGGTGTTATACTCAATGGCAGCCCCTCTATCAACTAATCAGTGAACAGTTACCTCATGTCAAGATTGTGAAGAGAATTCCATACAATATTACCGACGATGACTTCTTGGATGCTAGAAACAACAATATGATTTTTTTGGATGACCTAATGGCCGAGGCTAAAGATGACAAACGTATCTCACAGCTGTTCACACGAACCTCTCATCACAAGAATGTTATTATCTTCTTGTTATTACAAAATTTGTCTCCTAGAGGGAAGGAATCACGTGACATTGCTCTAAATTCTCATTACGTGACTTTATTTAGCTCTCCTGTGGATCGATATCAAGTTCAGTTGTTTGCCAGACGCATCTATCCTAATAATTCTGATAGGTTCATGTCAGCATATGAATCAGCTGTCCAAAAGCCATATGGAAATCTAACCATTGACTTACAATGCAATAAGACATATATAGCTGTATAATACATAATGAACAAACATAAATCATTGAGATGATATATTTGGGTATTTTCATGAGTCATGTAGCATCATATTCAAACAGAAGCTTTTACATCATAACATGGACATGGCTGTGTCAATTTATCTTAATACATCATACACACAAGGAATGAAATGGTTTCTAAGACTTGATTCTATAGTGTCCATGAGCTAATGTGTTTAACCCATCTTCCAAGACATACCTTTTGTCATCAAAGGGGGAAAGGCTAATTTTATTGATTTGAACAGTATAAAGCTGATGGTTACGACTTTGAATTTGGGTCATCTGGTGTCTAAATTGAGTATGTTTCATGAGACAATGTTTATACAGTTTATGTCTTAATTGTCTCTTAATCACAGTTTTAGAAATTCCCATGGCTCTTTGTTCCTCATTAATGGCATTAGCTAATATTTCATCAGTTTTCTCATCTTTCTCTGGGGCTTTAACATCATAAGAATATAATTTAGGTCGAAGGCCGCAAAATGAAACCATGGGGTAACCTTCAGCTTCATCTTTAAACTTAACTAGGACTATTTTGTTAGACTCTGAGTGGAGAGGGTGGGTTTTATGATAGTTTGAAGTATCAAACAACTCTATATGTTCTCCCATGTCAGAATAAACATTCTCTGTCTCAATGTGGTAACACAATGAGTCTGTGTCATTGAAACAGAGTTTG